AGTCAGTGTAAGGGTTACCTCCCGGTTCATCTTTGAAGTGGACATTGTTATGTGTAATTATTTATTTTCGTTTATTCGTTTATTATTTTAGATGCTTATGCTAAGTATTCGTCTATTTGTTTTTTCTTTTTATTTATTATTTTTTTGTCCTGATTATTTTAGTAGAATATTACTGTGTTTTGTATTCCAGTTGTTGTGTATTTTATTGCTTTGCATTAACCTGAGTCACATATTGTTCTTTCAAACAATATTTCTGTTGTATGTATCCCCTGTGAATGTTATGTGCTAAATAAAACAAATAAATAAATAAATAAAAACAAACTCTGAAAACTGTCATAAACTAGCCATAGGACCCATTTCTCCGCCCATTTTGGGCGGGAGTTTTTGAATGCCTTGTGTTGATTGGTTCCGATCCGACCAATGAGAGATCAGCTGGTAAAGCGACCACAAGCTGAATTTAAATTTGAAGTTCAAACGGCTGCGAGAAGTGTTTGCGCTGGTGTGTGTTGTTTTTCTTTACGTGTAATTCTCAGTCCTTGTATAAAAGGTTTGTTGTTATTTGTTTATTTATATACGTCAACTGTAAGTATGATAAGTTATGCTTTATTTCTCGATGTTCAGATAAAGCTTATTGTATTTTGTAAAGTTACGTGAATGGCGTTATATTTCAGCAACTGTTTGTTTTCGTCAATACAATGTGTTTATTGGTGATTTTGAGTTTATTAATTTAAATATGCACTTGAATGGCACAGTTATTTGACTAAATGACGTTAACGTTTGTGTATGTTGTGTTTTCTCGGGCTTGCCTTGAAGAAGAATTACACACCATGAACAAAGAGGTAAGATTATAAACCGTTGGAAATGCTTAACGGCTAACGTCTCCATTAATCCTGAAGCATTTGAAAACGGCGTTTTCGTTTTTCTCTCCGTCGACGCTAGCGTTTTCAAGAGTTTTCCAAGTTTCTCATCAACACTGAAACGTCGGAAAACGTTAAATTCGTGTATAAACATATCCATTTGTAGTGTATGCGTCGCATGACTAAACACGCGTTATGGTTTTCCTTGACAAAAGCCTCATCTCTGTGTGGACGGAAGGCCAAAGCGACGAGAAAAAGATGTTCAGTAGATGCAGTATGCAGCCCAAGCTACTTGTTATTGCTGTTCAGTACAGTACAAAATAGTATGCACCTCATCAGCAATTTAGTTTGAGTGCTAAATGCATTATTCTGAAACTACTACTGCTTTGTTTTGAATTGCACATCTCTCATTAGCTCTACGGTCATGAAAGTCTGTTCATGTTTTTCTCTTGGTTGCTCTGCAGAATACAGCATCCCTTCTCCCTGTCATGTCTGGGAAACGGGCTCACACCAACAGCTCCGATGGGGAGCAACAGCAGCCTGCGCAGGTCTGTTTTTAGTCTGTACAGATTTCCTTTCCTTGTGCTTTTATCACAAATGTTCTTCTTTGGATTGTTTGGAATATATTTAATGGAAAAGCATCCCCACTTTTCTCCAGAAGAAAATGCGCAGAGTAGATGCAGAACCGCCTCAGAGGTTCAGACCTGCGGCTAGTGTTGTGCCCCCAAGACATCCTGTGGCAGTCAAAGCTCCTGGTACGTTATACTGAAGTTTAAAGGTCCCATATTGTCAAAACTGAAATTTCCTGGCTTTTTTTCACGATAACTGAGGTCTAGGGGCTATTTAACTACCATATAAGTTTCAAAACAGTCAGTTCACAGTAAAAGGCACACAGCCTGCATAAAGTTCTAGCTATTTTTCATGAACCATTGTGACGTCCGTAAAAAGTTGACGTCAGAACTACACGGTCACCACCCCGAGCACCGCCCACCGTCCCACTCTCCTTTTGCCAAACCCCCAGTCAACATCGCGTCCCTAACCCAACATCGCGTCCATGCCATTGCTGAGCAACAACAACACGGAAACATGTCGAAAAGGTTAACTTTAACCACAAAACCAGATCGGCCGACCTGTAACGTTACACTCTCACTCAAAGGATGGACGATCTGACAGGATTGTTACTATGAGGTGGATCACATCTAACGTGTATAGTAAAGACAAACTCACCGTGTCTATCTAGTCATGATGATGTGCATATATATATTTCAATTTCAGCAGGCAACTATTTTTACAGCTACATTATTGTTCCAGCCACAATTAATCACAACAATGTATATACAATTACAAATGATTATATATAAATCGTCAGTTTGTTGTTTTGCACACAGACATTATTTCATACACGACATAGTCATGAGATGCAGGAAACATAGACATATGGCAAGAAATCTGTAGACGTGGCCATAACAACAAAAGACAATACTTTATTGAACCTTTTCTGATGAGAAGTGTATTCTTCTAAGTATTTTTGACGATCGTTTCTGTCCAGTCCGTTCGTTTTATCGCGTTTAACCACAGCTGTTGTCGTTTTTTTTTGTCTGGCAGTGGCAGCAAATATGCAATCAAATTTCTAATTTGTTGGGTGCCAGAATCGACGGAATACAGCCTCATCACAACAAGATTATATTTTAAGCTCCTTATGTAGCCGAATCTGTGCTGGTTTGAATGGGCTGCCTCCAGTTTCCCCTTTGTTTTGCTGCCTCCAGCTAGCGCTGTGACGTCGGCTGACCCTGTGTTTGGCCTGGCCGTGTGTCACTCAGAACACAACAGGCCAATCAGAA